AAATATAAATCTGTACAAGGAAAAAGCCCATGGACTGTTGGCCTGCTCATATACTCATTGCCACCCTGACCCTTGTTTCCTTGAAGAAACCACCTACAGAGGTCTCACATTCTTGGGGTATGAAGCCCCTCCAGGGTTTTTTTTTTTTGCTTTGAAATGAAGTATTTCTGCACCTTTCAGATGGCTTAGGATTTGGCTCCAGGTATTTACACATCTAAAACTACCATATTTTCTCACATACAACACCCCCCCCCCACAAAAAAAAGATATGCAACTTGTTTTTGAAAGGCAGAATAAAGAAAAAAAGAAAAAAAGTTATTTCCTTGAAAATACTGGTATATATAATATTTTCCCAGGAAAAGCACAGGCAGCTGCATTAGAGGGGGCGCAAAACATTAAGGTTGCTCTATTAACCTTGTAGCTCCACTTCAGAAATCCAGTGGGTGCTAGACCAGACTCCTGCTGAGTCAATATCAGCTTCTGCAGCACGAGCCTCTGCCAGAAACAAGGCGAAAATGTCCACAGGCAGCAGCTGGAGAGCCTTGTGTGTTCATTACTGTCTTTCCCTGCTGCTTGTGTAACAAAAAGCTTTGTTACCATATTTCCTCACTTACAACGTACATCAATGTCCAGCAGCTGATTTTTCAGGGAAAGATGTGTGTTGTATATGAGAAAATATGGTAGTGGGGGTGGGGAGGGGGGTGGGAAACCAACAGTCTTTTCAAGTGCACCCTTCTCTAAAAGGTTCATAGACCACTTGGATGCAGAACCGAGCATGCCAAGGAGAGTGGTAGTGTTGAGCCCCAAAGTGTACGCCGAAGTCAGTTCTTTCTCCAGGACATCAAGACATTCTGTTTTTGGTACGGGATGTCTGGTTACTAAACAATTCCACTGATGACTTGCTGATGCACATGAGGGCCTGTGTGTGGAATAAGCTTAACATGCTGACTAGCACTGTGAAAATGTCCCATGTAAAATCAGCCAGCCACAGATGGCAAGTAAAGAGTTGGCCTCTCTTAGCCTCTCCATGACCCAGCATGTGTGCATTGTTCTCTTTGGGTGGAAAGAAAAGGGCACGAAGCCAAGAACTGAGATGCTACACAGCAGGACTCAAAGAGGGGTGGCAGGTACTTTAGAGCTGGGGCACATTCCTTGTTTCTGGAGTAATTGGGTTTTCACACACGATGAAAAGCTCCAGGAGAACACAGACACAGGAAGATATTACAAGCCAGTACATCTTCCATACATCCACGCATGGAGATATGCAGATTTGCTGGAGTAGAAAAAGAGGACAATAGGAAACACCTGCATGGAGAAACCAGCACCAGCTCCTCCTTCCCACCCATGGATGGAAAGAATGAGTGGCATCAATGAGCCTGCAAGTCATACCCCATGCATCCTAACACTTAGACTGGCAGCTCCCAAGTTGTCACCATCAGGTTCTTGCTGGCTCTATTTCTTATTTCTAGCTGTTTCATAGCATTAAGTTCAGATTTACCCCTAATGTTACCTTTCTAGGGAAGCAGTTGCTGGAGTTGGCACCAGCAAAACAGCCACAGAAGGAAGAAGAAATAAGGCTAGGCAGCAACTGTGCTAGGAGGGGCCTATCAGTTAAATCACCATTTGATTATTGTCTTTGGACTTGGCAGTGATGCCCAAAGGCTGGGGGTCCAGAGCCTCCATCAGTTTCTACAGTACCAGAACTGCCGCAAACAGGCTCGAAGTCTGTTTACCCCTGTATCCTGCCTGCAACAAGGGCTGCCACCAGATGCTTCAGAGAAAGGTGTAACCCACAGTATAGGCCGGTGTGGGGAAACTGTGCTTCTCACATAAATTAATAGCCAGAGATGTGTTATAGAGGCCAGGTCTGCACCCTGGAGCAGGGTTTAACTCCAGATAGCCTGCTGTCCATAAATGTCCAACCTCTTGCTGACTGCCTCCCCAATGAGCCATAATCTCCACCAGTGTAAAGCAGGGACCTGTGCAATGCACAGGTGTAAGTGACAAACCAAAGCACAAGGCTGGCAGAATCAAAAAGCCCCTTTCCCCATGTTGGATCCCTGGGTATGTCTACTTACATTCAACCTTACAGTTGCCCTCAAGCCCAAATATGCCAGCCATCTGACACCAAAAAAAAAAAAAAAAAATCCAGTACCATTCAGTCTTTAGAGAAAGAAGATTACAGCCCGTCTATGATCAGGACTCTTTTGCAAGCTTAGATGCAAATTAAGGGACAGCTACAAATTCCATAATGATTAGTCCTCTTACACACCACAACAAGGTACAATAACATTTCCCTATAATCTTCCATTCCCTATTAGCAGGTGAGGCAGGGGTGGGCAATTATTTTTGGCAGACGGCCGCTTAATGAGTTTTGGCAAGCTGTTGAGGGTTGCATGGGTAACCCTGCCCCCTGGTCGCCATCTTGGGACTGGAAGTCCTGCCCCTGACCTCTGACCCTTGCCACTGGAAGTCCTCCTTCGGAGAAGAGCATTTGCTATCTTAGAACCAGAAAAAAAACCAACAAGTTATGTACTAAAAAATCAAATACCCATAACATTATATTTTAATTCAATTAAAAATATATTTTTGTCCTGATACCTGTGTGTTTGTGCTTTATATGTAGAAGTGATTGCATAATAGCTCAAAATGTAGTCTTAGTCTTGTATAGTGTGTGGGGAGCTGTGTGTGTGTGGGATGCGTGTGTGGAGGAGGGTGTGGTTGTGGGGTTTGCAGGAAGGGTTGCAAGTGGGGAGCCAGCCGGGCCTTTGCTGTCCGAAGCCTCCTGGCTGCGTTTGTACTCTGGTGGCTCCTGCTGCTGCCAGGAGGCCGGGGGCTGCCAACAAAGGGTCTGTCAGGTTTGGGGGGCAGTGTGGGGGGCTCCTGGAGCCACTGGGGGTGGCACGAGTCAGTTGGGACATGCCTGGGATGCGGGAAACCCAAGGAGGTGGTGCAGAACTTGCATCGCGTGCCTGAGGCTTGGGGCAGCAAAGGCCTGGCTGCCCACCTCCACGGACAGCCTGGGGGTTGCCATCACCCTGGGGGGTGGACCCAGCCTCCCCCCACCCCCGCACAGGGGCCCTGGGACAGGAAGGGAGGCTGCGCCAGGAGCCAGAGCAGAGCCACAGCTGCTTTTTTGCTTCAGAAGCTCCTGCAGCTTCCAGGAGGCCGGGGGCCTCGGGGAAGCTCCTGGCCAGCCCTGTGGGCAGTGCGGGGGGCCCAGGATGTGGGAAATCCAGGAATCCAGCATGGAAGTTGCATCCTGCTCCTGAGGCTTGGGATGGCAACAACCTGGCTGCCCCCACAATGAGTGACCCCGGTGGGTGCCCCCACCCTGGGGGGGGGGGGGGGGGGCCCCCCCCCCACACCCCACAGGGGCCCAGCAGCCTGGCAGCAGCTTGCTCTCCCAGCCCCAGGATGGGCAGGGAGGCTGCACCAGGAGCCAGAGAGGAGCCACGGCTCCTTTTTTCCTCTGAAAGCTCCTGCGGCCTCCCCGAGCTTCCCATGCCCCAGGCTGGGACCCTGCCAGGTTGTGCCACCCCCAGAAGCCTCAGGACATGGACCATGCTGCCCACAGGGCTGGCCAGGAGCTTCCCCAGGGGCCCTGGGCTCCTAGCAGCTGCAGGAACTTCTGGAGCAGAAAAGCAGCTGCAGATCAACTCCTGCTCCTGTTGCAGCCTCCCCTCCCATCCTGGGGCCAGGGAGTGAGCTGCCACTGGGCCCCTGTGGGGCAGGGTGGCCCAGGCCTTCCCTCCAGGGCAGCAGCACCCATGGGAGCCTCCCATGGGGGGGCAGCCAGGCCGTTGCTGCTCCAAGCCTCAGGCGCAGGATGGAAGCTCCGTGCTGCCTCCCCGCGCCTTGGGCCATGTCCCCACTGGGTCATGCCACCCCCAGCAGCCCCAGGGCCGGACTGGGGGTGTTGAGAGCCAGCAATAGCCAGGCGGTGCTCTGGGGCCAGTGCCAGCGGGGCCCAGAGCAGGGTGGCAGGAGCCCAGGGCGCAGCTGCCCGGGCTCTATGGAGCCAGGCCAGGCTGCCCCAGCATGGAGAGAGTCACCCTGCTCTGGGCCCCACCAGTGCTGGCTCCCGCACACCCCCTTGCTCCCAGTGCCCCGCCCCAGCCCTGTGGCCAGATGGGGCTAGGGAGCATGCTGGTCCCTCTCTTACCTGAGCTTCCCACTCTGGCACAAGTGGGAACAGCCTCATGGTCCCTCCAGCTGGGGGAGGGGGGTGGGGCAAGGCGGGCCCTGCTCTTCCAGGAGCCAGCTGTGGCTTCCACTGGGTCCTACTGCCCCTGTCTCCTGTCACTTTTGACAGGAGCCAGAGGCAAATAAATAATCATTTTAATAAAAATTTCTAGGGTCCCCAGGGGACCGACAGAATGGCCTGGCAGGCCAGATTTGGCCCACGGGCAGTATTTTGCCCACCCCTGAGGTGAGGTATTACTATAACCCAAGTCAAATAAAGAGGCAAGAGACAGGTCTATAACCCAGCCTTTTATTGATTATACTGCAAAGCACAAGAATAAGTGTCACGGTGGGGTCCTACAGGAGGGCCGTGATCTCCTCAAGGCCCCCTTGCCATGCTAAGTTGGCTCAAGGGCACCCTCAAATTCTCGCCCACCACATCTTTGGTGTTTCAATATATTAGGGAGGCTGCCTTGCGTCCTCTTGGACACAGTTTGCTGCAACATCTGACCCCATGGACTCGCGGTCCCCTTGTGGGTCCTGCTCTGTAATGGGTGCTTTGGGGCACCTTAGCCTTATGGGCTATGCATGGCTCCAACCACCCCTTTACCATGCCCCAAGCCTCGCAGCTGGAATAGACGTTGTTCGGTCCAGGTCTACACCCTCTCTCTGGTGCTCGGGCTCTCTGCAGCCTTGTCTTTCTCCGTGCCCTCTCTCTGGCACTTCTCAAAGTGCTGCCCCCTTCTCCGGGGCTTCCCAAATCTCTGTAGTGCCGCCCCCCTCTCCAGGCCTCCTCGGTAAAGCCGCCCCCCTTCCCTGGAGCTCACCATGCCCCCACTGGGGCTTCTCAGCAACACCCCCTTTCTGGGGCTGGGGTCAGTGCACCCCAAATGCTGCACCTTTGCTGGCACAGGGGTTCTCACACTGCTGTGGGTCCCCTGTGAGGCCTCCTCCAATCCCTAATAGCCTCACCCAAACCACCAGTGACAAACAGCAACACAAACACCAGCCTCTTAGCTATAACATAAACTGTAGCCGCCCGGCTATAACCACGTTCAAGCCTACCGGGGATTCTTCATCTTATAGCAGTGTCAGACACTGCTCCTGCATTCAGACTTCTCCTCTCTTCCATGGCAGAGAGCTCCTTCCTCCTTGACTGCTGACAGGGAACTGCCGCTGGACTCAGCCCCTAGGGTTTATAAGGGAGATAGGCTCTGCCCCTTCTGGTCAGCTGACCTCCTCTGGTTGCCCTGGCAACCCACAGCTGGGCTCGCCCCTCACTGCTAGGGCTCCTTTCCTAGCAGTTTTTTCCTTCTTAGGAGCAGTGCACCTAAGTGCTCTGCGACAATAAGCACTTGTCTCTATGCCTAACTATCTACATGCAACTGCACAATATAGATTTTCACCTCTACCAGCTTGGGGGAGATGCAAGAGGGGGGAGGAGAGTATTATGGAGGCTAACAGCATGTTGTCTGGAATTTGCTGAGGGCTTCTCCAAAATTCCCCCCTTTTACAACTAATATTTAAATGTGGCTTATTTAAGTAAATATTCTGATCAGTGTTATTTCTCTGTTTCACTGAGACTTTGGGAACTGGGCTGAACCAGTTTTTCTGTGGACTTGGAAGATGCCAGTTAGCTGGGGTCTGTGTCCTTGTGAAAAGTACAAGTCTGAGAGAGAGCACTTCTTATCTTTTTCCCTCACCATTTGGGAATACTACTTACCATCTTCTGTTTCTTTTCCTTTTTTGACCAGGTCAGTTTGTAACATCTACAAAAGTTCATTCTCAAACAAGCTTTGGGGGCTACTTTAGCCACAACTTCTGCAATTTAGAATAAATTCCTTGAACATGGTCAAGGCTGACAGCAGGTTAACACAGACACATTATTATTTCAATAGAATCATATCTGAGTACATGTAATTCAGTTCTTATAACATCAGCTGTTACTTTTACCTGCTGTTAAGCACTTTCCACAAAGCAATTCTTCATCCTTGACCTACCTAATGTTAGTGACTTCAATAAACAGATTCTTAATTTACTTTCCAGGCTACTGCTTATGCTTTAAATGCAAGCTTATTGATTACTCACTGTACACAAGCTTAAGCACATAATATTCATAACTCAGGCTTTTACTAGGTCTATAGTCTGTACCTGTCAGTGTGATCTGTCAGTCAGTGACCATCTGTACCGCCTGCTCTCTTGGGCATCAGGGCCTTCACCTAGCCCTGCCCTGCTGCAGCATGTGCAGTAGTTTTCAGAGCCACAGGCTGCGGGAACAGAAAATCTGCTAACAGAAATCCCATAGCTTCTAGCAGAGGTATAACTGGTAAGGTTTGCACGCTGGGCAGTGTGGGCACATCCCAATAACTCTGGTCCCTTATCAGTGTTATGCCCCCTTGAGATTGTTGATTTGACACGTGTCAGATCAACACTCAGGATCTCAATATCGTGCTGTTAGGCAGGAGGGCGTGACACAAAATTATACACATACACAAGCTACACATACAACACTCTGGGCACAACCACACGTGAAAGCACGTGCACTTGCAGCAGCTGAAATAGAAGCGGTGCAAATTTGAGCCAGGGCTTTTTGGCTCAGTGCAGGTGCCTGGACATGCACTTTGCTGTGGAGTAAATTGTGCCACTTGGGGCAAAATAACCCTGCCTGGCACCTCCCAGATCTGTAGCCAGGGGGAGCTAGAGCCTGGGGCTAGTACCTGTGCTGTCCCCAGCAGTATAAAAAGTTGCCCTGTCCTAGGAATCAGTACAAAAAGGTGCCCTGGCAAGTAGCTCAGGGCTATTCATTCTCAGGAGCTTCAGGGGCCCAGCCAATTGGTACCTGGGGACACTACCCCTTGTGCCAGCTGGACTGCTGCAACAGCCCTGAGAGTTCCCTGCACCCTCTACCCACTGCAGCAGTCTGGCAGTGGGGGCTGCTGCCTGGCTGTGACCTGCTGCACACTTGCCAGACCCAGATGGGGACTGCACAGCCAATAGAGGCATCTGCCCCTCCGCGCC